AGAGCACAGAAAAAGCAAAATTAAGAGCAAAATCATAGGAGTTCCCTGGTGGCGCAGTGGTTAAGAATCCACCTGCCGATGCAGGGGACACGGGTTCAAGCCCTGGTCCGGTAAGATCCTACATGACACGGAGCAACTAAGCCCGTGTGCCACAACTACTGAGCCTGTGCTCTAGAGCCCGTGAGCCACAACTACTGAGCCCGCGTGCCACAACTGCTGAAGCCCGCCTCCTAGAGCCCGTGCTCCGCCACAAGAGAAGCCACCGCAATGAGAAGCCTGCACACCGCAACAAGGAGTAGCCCCCGCTCGCCACAACCAGAGAAAGCCCGCGCGCAGCAATGAAGACCCAATGCAGCCAAAAATAATTAATTTTAAAAATAAAAGAACAGAATCATAGTGGGTCCTATACACTGGTAGAGAAGTAGCTGTCTCATATTCTGATTTTCAGCATCTCACAAAACACTATTTTCAAAAAAAAAAAATATTATCTCCCAGACCTGCCAAGGGCCCATTTCCCCCTCATCCTTGGCTTGTAACTTCTACTTTTACGGTCATAGTTGTTTTGTTTTGGTTTTTATAAATTTATTTATTTATTTTTGGCTGTGCTGGGTCTTCGTTGCTGCACACAGGCTTTCTCTAGTTGCAGCAAGCAAGGGCTACTGTTTATTGAGATTCGCAGGCTTCTCATTGCAGTGGCTTCTCTTGTTGAGGGGCACAGGCTCTAGGTGCACGGGCTTCAGTAGTTGTGGTACATGGGCTCAGTAGTTGTGGCGCACGGGCTTAGTTGCTCTGTGGCATGTGGGATCCTCCCAGACCAGGGCTCAAACCCGTGTCCCCTGCATTGGCAGGCGGATTCTTAACCACTGTGCCACCAGGGAAGCCCTAGGGTCATAGTTTTGACTAAGTCAGTAAGACTGGGGACATACTCTCAAGAAGGCCCCCCATAGCCTTTACTATAGGAGTAAACAGGCCCAGGGAATCACCTTAGCCTTCTGACACAGGGTCAGAATTTACCAGGTAAATGCAGCATCACCCTGAAAATAGGAGCTTAGCAGTAAAAGCAGTATGTTCAGCCTGTGTGGAGGGAGGAAGCTCTCACACAGGCCAGCGGAGGGGAGAGCAGATTGTCAGCAGAGCAAAAGGCACGGGCAGGGACCTCGCACTCTACAGAAGATGTATGGGATCTGAAGGCAAAATTTAAAGGTAACAGTCTATTACTGCACTTTTCATCTAGAATAAGCTATATAATACCAAGAAAGACTTTTAAATGAATTTATAAGTTTTTATGAGGCACCACACTCCCTCATTTCTTGTTTCAAGAAACAACACCACACTTGTTTCTTGAAAACAAGAAAAAGAATTCCGATTATCACAGTAATTCTTGTGACACAATGAAATTCTGTCCAAACGCATCTCAAAATCTGACATAAGATATAAGAGCCAGCTATGTTACTTCACCTACTACTGTATTCCAAAGACCAAACATTAGATCTTTAAAAAAAAATAGGATACATAATGGCAATAGAACAGACAGTCTCTTCAATAAATGGTGCTGAAACAACCCTACACTCTCCACAAAAAGTAACTCAAAAGGGATCATAGACCTATGATCTAAAACACAATACCATAATACTCCTAGGAGATAACAGAGCCTAGATGACCTTGAGTATGACTTTTAAATGACTTTTTAGATACAATACCAAAGGCACAATCCATGAAAGAAATACTGGGTAGGCTAGACTTCATTAAAATTTAAACCTTCTGCTCTGTGAAAGACACTGCCAAGAGGATTAGAAGAAAAGCCACAGAATGGGAGAAAATATTTGAAAAGACAGATATGAAAAAAGGACTGTCACCCAAAATGTACAACAATTCTTAAAACTCAACAATAAGAAAACAAACAACCTGATTAAAAAATGGACCAAAGACCTTAAAAGACACCCAAAGAAGATATACAGGTGGTAAATAAGCTACGAAAAGATGTTCCACATCATAGTCGTCAGAGAAATTCAAATTAAAACAACAGTGAGGTACAACTACACACTTACTACAATGGCCAAAATCAGGAATGCTTAGAATGGCCAAAATCCAAAACACTAACCACACCAAATGCTGACAAGGTTGTGGAGCAACAGAACTCTCCTTCATTGCTGGTGGGAATGCAAACTGGTATAGTCATTTTGGAAGACAGTTTGATGAGTTTTTTTTTTTAATAAAACTAAACATACTCCTACCATACAATCCAGAAATTTCTCTTCTTGGTATTTACCCAAAGGAGATGAAAATTTATGTCCACACAAAAACCTACATGTGGATTTTTATAGCAGCTTTATTCATAATTGCCAAAACTTGGAAGCAACCAAGATGTCCTCCAGTAGGTCCAGACAATGGAATATTATGCATTATTAAAAAGAATTCAGCTATCAAGCCATGAAGAGACATGGAGAGACCATAAATGCATATTGCTAAATGAAAGAAGCCAATCTGAAGAGGCAACATACTGTATGATTCCAATGATATGATATTCTGGAAAAGGCAAAACTATGGAAGTAGTAAAAAGATTAGTGGGGCTTCCCAGGTGGCGCAGTGGTTAAGAATCCGCCTGCCAATGCAGGGGACATGGGTTTGAGCCCTGGTCCGGGAAGATCCCACATGCTGTGGAGCAGCTAAGCCCGTGCGCCACGACTACTGAGCCTGCACTCTAGAGCCCGTGAGCCGCAACTACTGACGCCCATGCGCCTAGAGCCCGTGCTCCACAAAAAAAAAAAAAAAAAAAAAAAAAAAAGATTAGTGGAAGGGGGTCAGGGAGTGAAGAAAACAGAGCATTTTTATGGCAGTGAAAATACCCTTATGACATTCTAATGATGACTACGTGTCATTATACATGTCCAAACCCGTAGAATGTACAACACAAAGGGTGAACCCTAATGTAAGCTGTGGACTTAAGGTGATTATTGAAGTGTCAATGTAGGTTCATCGATTTTAACAAATGTACCCCTCTAGCGAGTGATACTGATAATGGAGGAGGCTGTCATGGGGGGGAGGGGGGGGTGGGGGGGTGTGCCAAGGGGTATATGGAAAATCTCTGTACTTTCCTCTCAATTTTGCTATGAATCTAAAACTGCTCTTAAAAATGAAGTATTAAAAAAATAATGGGGAAGCTTTAAATTTTTAACAAATAGTTAAAAACAAAACAGTTACTAAGAAAAAACAGTAAACACAAAAAAAGCAGGGAAAATGGTTTACCTACTCTGATAAACTATTCATTTCCCTAATAACTACAACTTGCAGAGGCCAAAAGAGCTGCTGGAAAAACAATGACATCCAATATTTTCCTTAGCATCGGAAGTGTCTTCATAAACCCAACCTTCCTCTGCATATTAAATGTCTAACCACAAGATTCCTAAATGATGATGATGCCATTTCATTCCACAGACTTCATTTTCTTAGAGGCAGAAATATAAATATTCATTTTCTCAGCTTTGAATAATCCATCTTTTTATGTGAATTTTTGGTTTCTCAAATATCACTGAGATTTTGTGATTTGATTGGCATTTATATCCCCTTCCCCAAACCTGTTTATTTCAACATTTCAACTGGACAGTTCTCATTTCATAGTCATGCAAATTACACCAGAAAAAAAAAAACCCGACTAAAGCTGATAGACGGAATAAACAAAATTGCTTCTTAATAAAAAATGTTTCAAACTCACGTATTTGATTTGTCACTGCCTGCTCCCCTTCACCCCTGCCTATTTGATGAACAAGTACCTTCAAAGCTGTTTCCTTAAATACATGAATGGAAAAATAGAGAGGGTAAATACAGATTTAGATCATGTCATGCTGGATTTATAATTAATTCCACCACAATGTGTATAAAACCAGGAGGAAAATGTGTTTATTTTTCCATATGACATTAAGTGAGTGATTAAGAATATCACTAAGT